CCTTCAACCTGCTGGTTACGCTGCTTTTAATGCAGCCCAGGATACGGTTGGCTTTCTGGGCTGCAAGTGCACACTGCCGGCCCATGTTCATTTCCTCATCAACCAACACCCCCAAGTTCTTCTCCACAGGGCTGCTTTGAATCTCTTCTCTGCCCAACCTGTAGCTGTGCCTGGGATTGCTCCGACCCAGGTGTAGGACCTTGCACTTGGCATGGTTAAACTTCATAAGGTTGGCATCAGCCCACCTTACAAGCGTGTCGAGGTCCCTCTGGATGGCATTCCTTCCCTCCAGCATATCAACTGAGCCACACAGCTTGGTGTCATCAGAAAACTTGCTGAGGGCACACTCAATCCCACTGTCCATGTCACCAACAAAGATGTTGAACAAGACCGGTCCAAACACCGATCCCTGAGGGACACCACTTGTTACTGGTCTCCACCCAGACATTGAGCCATTGACCACAACTCTTTGTGTGCAGCCATCCAGCCAGTTCTTTCTCCACTGAGTGGTCCATCCATCAAATTGAGTGGTCCATCCATCAAATTGATGTCTCTCCAATTTAGAGACAAGGATGTCGTGTGGGACAGTGTCAGATGCTTTACACAAGTCCAGGTAGATGACATCAGCTGCTCTACTGCTGTCCATCAGTTCTGTAGTCCCATCATAGAAGGCCACCAAATTGGTCAGGCAGGATTTCCCCTTAGTGAAGCCATGCTGGCTGTCACCAAGCACCTTGTTGATTTTCATGTGCCTTAGCATGTCTTCCAGGAGAATCTTCTCCAAGATTTTGCCAGGCAACATATCCCAAGGAGATACTCAAAATAAGCACAATACACTAATACAGAACTGAAAAAGAAAATATCAAGTTCTGCTTGCAGTTTATGGGCATATGGAACCGATTCAAGGCCTATTTCTTCATGATTAGGCTTTCAAGATAGAGAAATAACTTAATCCATTATTAAAAGCATTGTTTGTGGCATGATTTGATTTTTCAGGATTATTTGGTTATTAGTCTTTTGTCTAATGGGTTAAATCAGAGGAATTTAAATTTATGACATTTTATAGGGATATATGTACTTTTATGTAGTATATGTGCATGTAGATTTAAAAAATAACTAAAGAGAATTCCAGAGTACAAACTGATGTGAGCAGAGAAGTGCTACCGTCGTCAAAGCAGGGATAAATGATTTCAGTGAATTGCAATTAATTTAGTTGTGTGTATTCATAATGAGAGCATAAATTATTTGGTTCTCATTTCAGTTTATTTCCTGTTATGCCCAAGCAGAAGAAATATGCTTGGGAATATGTGGCATTCAAGACTACAGAATCTAGCATTAGTGGAAAAAACATGCTGGTTGAAGTCATTGAGCGATATGGGACACCTGGATGTGTTTCATAAAATGTCACTGTTATAGTGAATGCCCTTACAATTGTGTTGAGATGTTTTGAGCACTTTTATGTGTGCATTTCTTCCTGTGTACAGGAGGAAACTTCATGGAAGGTTTTATGAAGTGAATGCATAATGGTACATAATATATTTGTGTGTGTGATGTGCATCAGGGCTTTAGATATAACAAATCTCTGTGTGTCTGTATCTTGTGTTTGTGGTATTGTGACTGAGTTGGGTTTTTTTCTTTCAGACTAGTAAACTTTATGGCGCCTATTAACCATCAAAGTCACTTTCATTTTTGTCAGTTGAGAATGATGACTTGGCTGTAGTTGTCAGCATCTTGTAGGAAGTTCAAACTCATATTCCATTAGGAAAACTCTCTAGATAGTAGTCCTTGTGAGTGAAGATGGCTTCAGTTGAGGGACTGAATATTGCTAGGCATTTTTGTGATGCCTTTAAGGTGCCTAAAGGACTAAGATGATCCTTAGGTGCATATGTAAAGGCAGTGACTGACTTCCTTCTTCCATATGTAAGATCAAGGCTTTCCTGCATCTCATAAAGTGCAAGAGATTGCAGAGCTTCTCTCATTATGTAAAATGACTGTCTACATGGTAACTCTTTTTTCCTATGCTCCCAAATAAAACCTTTATCTCTACCTGGTGCTGTGAGTTGGAACTTTGTGTAGATTGTTTTGAATGGGTATTTTAACATTATGCATAGTTCATAAAAATAAACTGATTTTTTTTTGCTTTCGTCTTTCCCAAATGTAGTAGTTAAGCATCATATCACTAAAATAGAAGCTAGTTAGGCTGACTTGCATCCATGGCAGGTGTTGCTGTCTATTCCTCAAACCCTTTTTCTGCTGCGTCAGTAAGCTTAGCCCACCAGTGACTGTTTAAGAGTGTGCACATGATTAGCACGCTGTGGTGGCATGCTGGTAGTTGATCCATTTATAGGGAGTACCACCATTCTGAGTTTAGGAAAGATGAGCTGCTCTTGTTTACATAGCTTATTTGGATTTTGAATGTGTCCCATACAGTTGCCTCCAGATATCCACTGTCCCTCAATTATCTTCTCAACTCAGCAACTGATCAAAGGAGAATTACCGCTTGCAAAATTAGATCTGTGATAAAATGTTCCAGTGTAGCAGCGATCAAGTTGCCACTCCATGAAACTCAAGCTGAATCACTCCACGTTTATTATACAGAAGTGTTATGTACTGCTAAGCTTTTACACAAGAACAAATGCTAGATTATGTGGGCTGCCATCATTAATTAGTTTGTAAATTCTGTCTAAATTGGATATACAAATCCCCCTGTCCCATATTTACATTTCTGCATTTCAGCCTCTGAGATTTCTGAGAGGTTTGTAAAATTGTCTGTTGCCAAGCTGCTTTCTGCTGAGTACATCTCAAAGGTTTCTGTGGCTCGCTTGTTTTGTCCAGTAGGAGTTTTGAAACAGTTTCTACTCCAGAAATGTGTTCCTGATTTCACTGTTCAAGATGGTAGTGTACAAAGAATTGAGGTGAAGAGCTTGCTACTTCTGCTTTTAGCCAGATTGGACTGTTTTCAAACACATGTGGAAAACATTAAACTATCCTAATGTATGAATATTAAATTGGCAGAAACCTATATAATGTGAAATTATACAGATTGAATTAGGTCCTGAGTTTTGAGTCAATAGCTATATTAATTTGTGATAGAGTACAGTAATTACTAATATGATAATCTTATCAGATAAATGTGATATCACAGGACATGTTTGGTTACAATCTGTATTTTAAAATACCCTGTGGTTTTTGTGTAATAATGCAAGCCTCTATTCATCTGTGAGCATGCAGTGCACTTTTTTTTTTTTTTTCCTAAAAGCCATACTTCAAGTTACTGTTGGGGTAAAAGAAGAATTTACTGAAAACCTTCTGAAGATTCATTTCAATAATATGGATATTTGAATTATCAAGGCCAGAAAAACTCAAGGTAATTTATTTCAAAAGAAAGAAGAGGACTTCATTGCTGAAGTTTGCATTATATATTGAGATGACAGTTGTTACGTTTGCTGTATATTGATGTGAATGAAGTATGTAGCATTGCTAAGTGATTGTACCTGTGCAAGATACACCAAAATCTACATACGGCATGAGAAACTGTATTTGTATACTTTTCTAAATATTTCATGATCATCCTCTTTTCTTAATAAATAGCATTCACATATATTGAAGTATACATTTTTTACAGTTACAGCTTTTTTCCCTCTTCCTTTGAACCCAGAACATTCATAAAGCTTTGAATCCTTAAAATACTAGGTGCGCTTTTTTGAGAAGGGAAGGAGGGCAGAATTTCATTTGGTTGATGAACGTTTTCAGGCTTTTTGATTATGGTGGTGAAAATTAACTCATTATTTCCATAAAATTTATGTGATCACACAATTGTTGCTTTTATCATGATATACATTCCTATATAAAAAAAAGTAAATTTATTCATGTGAATTATGCTATGTTTTCACTTGAATTTACAAAGACTATCAGTACACTTTGCACGTTTTCTGAATTCTTTTGCAAGCACTTAGGTAAATAATGGAAAGGTGAATAATTTAAGCAGGCACTTTATTATTACAGGTTATGTGCTATTGAAAAGATGGGAGAAATCCTCAAAGTAAACAAAACAACTTTGAATTAAATAATGCAAAGTTTCTACCTTTGATTGTATTTATTAAAGTTTACTTATTTTCCTCCCAAATTCTTACTTTTGGTATCTTAGGTTTATGGCAATAACTTCAGTATCCTGGCAAAAATGTTGTATGTTCTTATTGCATTTTGGCAGTCAGGGTTCTTGGCAGGCAGGCTCCCCAGAGGCAGAAAGCACAAGACAGTACTGATTTCCCAATTTACAGGGTGTTTGAAAACCAGGCTTAGAAAGTATGGGATCACAGATACAAAGAAACATAGGCCAAAATAAAGATTATGTAGAAAATACCTGATGCTCGTTATATAGCTTGTATATGTAGCTTTCTTGTATATGTTGGGTTTTTCACAAACTATACAGTTTAAATAGGTTAAATGTTAATATCCTCACAAATCTCTTAGCTATTAGGAAGTGACAGTTTCCTTAAAATAATCCATTAAAAGGTTTATGATGGCAAACAGCATGACTATTAGGAATTTCCAGTGTCAGGTGTGGCGTAAAGCAATGACATTCATTTCTCACAGTGCTTGTGAGAAATGAATCAGTTGATGCTCACATTAGTGGTGGAAGGATTTGAGAAGGGGGTAGAAAGACTGCTTTGTAAGGGGCCATCTAAACATAAGTCGACATCTAAACATAAGCTATGCTAGTGCTAGTCATCTTTTGATGAGAGCTCTCCCACCACTAGCTCATGCACACAAGTGATGGTGGTATATGGAGTCCATCCCTCCTTCAGGCTGTGCATTAAGTTTTGTTCAGGAGAGGTCATCATTGGCTGCATTCTGAGAGTGCAGTTTCTGTACTTGTGTTTAATGAATTAACATTGCACCTAATGTAGGCTTTCATTCTGGCTAATAATGGTGGTCATAGCTATAACAGCCAGATGCTATCTTCCGTTATTTGAGCATTATTTTCCCATTCTTTTCAGCAAGCTGTGCATTACCCAGGCTTCATTGGGATTTTATATATATTAAGCAAGGCCTTTCAGCAGTGCATTCCCACCAGATGCAAGAAATGGTGCTATAGTCAAAACCAGAACACTGACACTTTACAAAGCAAACTGTAAGTTAAATTGCAACCAAGGTAAATATTTGAATAAAAAGAAACCAGTGTGGAGAAGAATGTGCTGTAGAGACTTATTAGCCATATCTCAAAAGAGCTCAGAAGGACACTCCTGTTTATTTTATTCTTACCTTGATGACCTTGTAGTTTGAGTTAATGGTTTCTAAATTCAACTGAAGAGTTTGCAGCACAGTCCCGTTTGTCTCCAGTCAAAGAGAAAGGAAAGTAATGTGGAGCTAAAAAACAGCCTTAAGATTTTGTTCATTCTCTAAGTCTTTGATATGTATTTTAATTTGTATGGGTATACAATTAATGCAAACATAGTATTTATACAGTCTAGACAAGACTGAAATGTACTTCATCTGTGTTAAATTATGTATTTCTCTTAATGATCTGGAAGACATCCGGAACTACAGTAGACGTATGTGCTCTTACCTAAAAGAAATTCTTGAAGCTGTATTTTGTGGAGGAGGGGAAAAAAGGAGTGGGATCTCATTGATCTAAAAGCCAGGCTGTTTTGCAGCTCTACTTTTGTGAAAGTAGGCTGCAGAATCATCTGAGGGAATTATTTTTTTTCTGACAGATCAGTACTCGATTTTCAATTGTCAGTTTCATTAAATCCAGTCATAAAAGTGAGCATGAATCATTTCATGTAGCTAAATGTTAAGATACATCCCAATTTTTGTTTCCTAATGGCATACTGAGCTTCACCTTCATACAGAATGTTGTTGTTAAAATTTGGATGCTGGGTGGTTTATAGATTAAGAGGTTGTTGCCCTCTCATTAATGTTAACCATCAGAGCAGTCTGCATATGATCAAGAGGCACCAAGGAATAATGTGCAATTTTATTAACAACTGTATCTAGTTCAGAAGGACAATTCATGATAAGAAAAGATAATATAAAACAGATCTCATAGTTTCAGCACAATTAAGATTTTTGCCAGTGGTTGTTATGGGAAAACTTTCTTAAATGCTTTGCCCTTACCCTTTCAAAAGATTTGATGTTAGATGAGCAGGATTTTAATTCAGCAACTACATTATTAAGCAAAACCAGCTCAGATTCCTGAACCTGTAGCTGACAAAATAGACCAGAGCTGTAGTTACCATATTTAATTACATTTTTTTGGCTTTCCTGATGGAAAGCTTCTCAAGTCAATAGAGATGAGAGGAAATTATGTTAAAGCACAAAGTGTTTTGTTCTTGCTGAAAAGTTGAGGAAAAAAACCAAAAACTACATAACATAAGAAATATTAAAATAATTAAAATTAGGTTTGAGCATTGTGCTTTATTGTTTATGGATTTGAACTGTGCAGATATGTCTGCTCTTGGGAACTCAAGACATTAGTATCCTCTTCAGCAGTGTGGTTAAGCATGCTTAAGCATGTCCTCTATTTTGTACAGGTAAAAAACAAAAATTCTAAAAACCCAACACACTTGCAGAAGGTATAAAGGGTTAAAAAAAAAAAAACCTTGTATTTTTGCAGTTATTTTTGGTTGAGCTCAAGCTAGCAGTATTAAAGCTCCTTTAACAATGTTGCCAATAAACACCTGACCTCTTGCATTTTATTATAGTAGAGGTATTTGAAAGACAGTCTTATCAAACCTGCATTTGGTTCATTTCTTGAAGATAAACAGCACTCTGTCTAGATTTTAGGATAGATTCTTGTATTAATGGATGTTATGGTTTAAACCCAACTAAGTACCACACAGCTGCTTGCTCACCACTGCCTTTTCCCCAATCCCCAGGAGGGATGGGGAGGAGAATCAAAAGAATGTAAAACCCGTAGGTTGAGATAAGAACAGTTTAATAACTAGAGTATAATATACTACAACTGCTACTAATGATAGTAATAATAAAGGGGAGAGAATATAAAACCAAAAGGGGGAAAAAAGCCCCAACCAAACCCAACAATAAGCCCAAATGATGCACAAAGCGATTGCTCACCACCCACCAACTGACACCTAGCCCAATGCAAGCAGCGATCTGCCCTTCCAGTTAACTCACCCAGTTTATATACTGGGCATGACGTGCTGTGGTATGGAATACCCCTTTGGCTAGTTTGGGTCAGTTCTCCTGTTTCTGTTTCCTCCCAGCTTCTTGTGCCTCAGACTGAAACACAGCACTGCACCCGTCACTAGGAAGAAAATTCTCACAGCCAAAACCAGGACAATGGGCTAGTTTCTCATTCTCTGAACCTAGTATAATTTAGCACAACTCATTTTATACTTATTTTATTTTATTTTATTTTATTTTATTTTATTTTATTTAAGTGCTAGTGCTAGCTCTCATATGCATAGTAAAGAGTTAAAACGAGTTATAGAGGTCTTGGAGAATCAGCTGCCATTTTGTTATGGTCTGTCTTGTTATGATGTTGCTTTATCTTAACAGTGTAACAGAAAGGAAATGATTTAAGTATAACCAATAACCGGTATTGCAATAATAAATTTCACATGGGTAAGATAGGGAAGAGGGAAGAACTTGTGGCAGGGTAATGTATTGTGTTGAAAACTGACAATAGCTTTATTTTGGAGAATTACTTTTTTTTCTGGATAGACAGCATTAAAATGGGAGGTACCAGATGAGTAAAAGATTTGCAATTTGACCCTTCTGATTGTAAACTAAGAAGTACGTTTCATAAGACACTATTCTTATGTGAAATAGTAATGAGCCCATTTCTACATTGGTTATTGACTGGCTGTTCTTATCTGCTGCAAAAAAATGCTTTCTCTAAGGCTGAGGAATGCAGTTAGGTGTTATTGCAGCTAGTAATAATGCACAAGCACTTTTCTTGTCAATATAATCGCAAGAGAGAAAATAAAACCTGGCAAGCTGTAAGAGGTTTTTTTCCCCTCATGTTTCAGCAGCTGAAGACATGAAATTGCTGTTTCATATTCAACTTTCCCAACCTAATATTATGTATAAAATTTTTTTTTATTTGAATGTAAAAGTGGATTTCCTATGTCACTTTCACACTGGAGCTTCTGAGACTACACAGAGCAATAGAGGTCTTTAAAAATCCTCTTAACCAGATCATTCTTGGAATTTTTATATCTTGAAAATTTTGAGTCATGATCATTTTGTCATAAGAACAATAGTTTTTCCATCTCTAGGGGTTCTGTACAAAGAATGGACTCTTAATCATTTCACGTGTCTACAGAGATTTTGACAGGTGGCTGTTAGCAATATAGATGGCTACTTTTTCTTTCAGGTTGATTTCATGAGTATAGATATAATGAGATTTCTGGATGTTATTTTCATGCTCTAGAATGGTATGTTTAGATCTCCTTTTCATTACTAGATAAAACCGTTAATCTTTGATGGACTGGTATATATAGTAGCTGTGCCTTGGAAGTTGCTTAGGCAAGAAATACTGCACAAGCAGAATCGTGGAAATCACAAGGTTTCAATGGCTATTTTGAAAAGGCTGAACATAGAAGCTCTTTGTTAACATTGTTATTTTAATCTAACATTTTTATGACATTTTTTCACTGCATCTATTTATTTTTTTAATAAGTCTTGGCATCATCATCATATATATATATGCTTACAACCTTTACCACAACATATTCTTGCAAAACTGGTTAATCATTGTATTGGAGTACAGCCCAGTTTGCAAGGGACCTTGAAAGACCATCTGGTCAAACCTTTCATGGGAAAGGGGAGTCTAACTGAGATTATCTAGCTCCCTGTCCAATCACATCTTGAAAACCTCCACCAATGTAGACTCCACCATGTCCCTAGGGAGGTTGTTCCAGTGAATGATTGATCTCACTAAATATATTTTTCTCATCTTTAGATGAAACCTCTCCCAGTATAATTTGCATTCATTGCCCCTTGTCTTCTCCATGTAGTTCCTTGTGAGAGCCTCCATCCTATCCATATCTGCCATTTAAGTACTGAAATACTGTGATGAGGTCCCCTCTAAGCTTTGTCTTCCAGAGAAGAAAGACCCACGTCCTTCAGTCTTTCCTTATAGGGCAGGTTCTTCAGGCTTTTTGATCATCTTCAAGGCCCTTCTTTGGACCTCTCCAGTCTGTCCACATCTTTCTTGATTTGTGTAGACCAGAACTGTGTACAATACTGCAGGTGCAGCCTGAGAAGCACTGAGTGGATGATCACTCTCTGCTTATAAAGCCCCTGTGGATCCAGGATTAAAGATTAATCTTAACTAAGAATAAACGTGTTTTTGTTTCATTCTGAGATTTCAAAAGTCTTTGAAGTAAGCAGTGCTTGTTATGCTGTCCTGCAATGTCTCTGTGTTTGGATTCACAGCCACTAATATCAGACATGGTTTCTGTCTTACTCTGTTCTTCATCTGTGGGTTCTTATTAATAGATGATGTCCATTTCTGTGTTAGGAAAAAACAGGTTATTGGTCTTCCCAAAAAAGTAGATGTGAGGTTGCAAGAACGTGTATTTTGGTGCTAATCTTTATGTAACTGTGTTCCTGGTCAGCCTTCCCATATTAAAATAAAAGGTTATATGAGGGATTGAGACAAAGCTGCTCTGGCTTTTCTTTGCATCTCAAGTTTCAGTCTAGATCCAAATCTGGCTCTGGTATGAAGCAACATGTGTCTCATTAGTCAGTTTTTCTCTTCTCAGAGGTCAGCAATGCTGACTGGTACAAATGAACATGACCTGTTTGTGAGGGATAGACAGAAGACTGCTTGTGTGACTGTTTAGAGATGTCCAAGAATTAAATACTAAATTGTTGTTTTGCTGATTTCTTAATGTGAAAATATTCATATTTCACAGTTCTGTTGCTGCTAATCTTTCATGTTTATTTACACTGATGGGACACAATTGCTTGGCCACAGGTCCAGTTTATTTCCAAGGGGACAAAATTTTCTGTAAGGATCCTTTTCGATGTTAAGGAGGTACCAGCATCTTTCTCATGATGTATTAGAAAATAGCTGATTTGTGCAGGTTAGCTTACTGAAGACAGAACATACTCTGGGACAAGCATGATTCTGGTCTGTATCCTTCCCACTGGTTTTGA